GCCGGGCATAGTGGCAGGTGCCTGTAATCCCACCTACTCAGGAGGCTGAGACAGGAGAATCCCTTGAATCCAGGAAACAGAGGTTGCAGTGAGCCGTGATTGTGCCATTGCACTCCTACCTGGGCAACAAGAGCAAAAAATCTATCAAAAAGAAAGGAAGGAAGGAAGGAAGGAAGGAAGGAAGGAAGGAAGGAAGGAAGGAAGGAAGGAAGGAAAAAGAGACTAAATAAAGAACCAAACAAAAATAATAACCAAAACAATTTTTCAAAACAGACCATACAATAAGATATAAATAGAAAAATTTAACAGTGGGTTAAGAACAAAGTTAAGGTGCAGAGTGTTTACTAATTTTGTTTTGCTTATTTGTGTGTTTATGCAAATGGTGTTGTTATTAGCTTAAAATAATGGGTTATAATATACTATTTACAAGCCTCATGGTAACCTCAAATAAAAAAACATACAATACATATATATGCAAATCAATTAATGTAATACCTCATATCAACGGAATGAAGGACAAAAACCATATAATTATTTCAAATGCTGAGAAAGCATTTGATAAAATTCAACATCTCTTCACAGTAAAACCCCTAAAAAATTGGTTATAGAAGGAACATACCATGACATGATAACATCGTATATGACAGATTCATAGATAGTGTAAGACTGAATGGGGAAAAACTGAAAGTCTTTCCTCTAAGATCAGGAACATGCAAGGATGCCCACTTTCACCAGTGTTATTCAACATGCTACTGGAAGTCCTAGCTAGAGCAATCAAACAAGAAAAAGAAGTAAAGAACATCCAAATTGGAAAGAAAGAAGTCAAATTATCTTTGTTAGCAGATGATATGATCTTATATTTGAAAAAACCTAAAGACTCCACCAAAAAACTATTAAAACTGAGAAACAAATTCAGTAAAGTTGTAGGATATAAAATCAACATATAAAAATTACTAGCATTTCTATATGCCAAGAGCAAACGATTTGAAGAAGAAATTAAGGAAGTAATCTCATTTACAATAGGTAAAAATAAAATAAAATGCCTAGGAATTAACCAAAGAATGGAAAGATCTCTACAATGAAAACTATAAAACATTGATGCAAGAAGTTGAAGAAGACACACAAAAATGGAAAGATATTCCATGTTTATGTATTGGAAGAATTAATATTGTTAAAATGTGCATATTACCCAAAGCAATCTACAGATTCAATTCAATCTCTATCAAAATACTAAGGACATTCTTCACAAAAGTAGAAAAGACAATTCTAAAATTTATATGGAAGCACAAAAGATCCAGAATAGCCAAAGCTATCCTAAGCAAAAAGAACAAAATTGGAAGAATCATGTTACTTGACTTTAAACTATACTACACAGCTATAGTAAGCAAAAAATGGCATGATACTGAGATTAAAAACAGACACACAGATAATCCCCACATCTACAGTGAACTCATTTTTTACAAAGGTACCAAGAACTTACACTGGGGAAAGGACAGTTCTTCAATAAATGGTGCTGGAAAAGTTGGATATCCATATGCGAAAGAATGAAACTAGACCCTCCTCTCTTACCATATACAAAAATCGAATCAAAATAGATTAAAGACTTAAATCTAAGACCTCAAATTATGAAACTACTAAAGAAAACATTGGAGAAACTTTCTGGGACATTAGACTGAACAAAGATTTCTTAAGTAATACCCCATAAGCACAGGCAACCAAAGAAAAATGGACAAATATGCTCATATCAAGTTAAAAAGCATTTGCACAATAAGAAAAACAGTCAACAAAGTGAAGCAGTAACCCACAGAATGAGAGAAAATGTTTCCAAACCACTCAGCTGACAAGGGATTAATAACCAGAATATATAAGGAGTTCAAACTGTATAGGAAAAATTCTAATAAGCTGATTAAAAAATGGGCAAAAGACCTGAATAGGCATTTCTCAAAAGAAGAAATACAAATGGCAAACAGGTATATAAAAAGGTGCTCAACATTGATCATCAGAGAAATGCAAATCAAAACTACAATGAGATGTCACCTCACTCCAGTTACAATGGCTTTTATCAAAAAGTCAGTGATGAAAAATGCTGGTGAGAATGTGGAGAAAAGAGAACCCTTGTACACTGCTAGCAGAAATGTAAATTAGTACAATCACTATTGTTAACAGTTTAGTAGTTCCTCAAAAAATTTAAAATAGAGCTACCATAAAATCCAGAATTCTCACTTCTGGGTATAAACCCAAAAGAAAAGGAATCAGGCTATCCATGAGATATCTGCACTCCCATGTTTGTTGCAGCACTATTCACAATAGCCAAGATTTGGAAGCAACCTAAGTGTCCATCAACAGATGAATGGATAAAGAAAATGTGTATATATACACAACAGAGTACTATTCAGCCATAAAAAGAATGAGATCCTCTCATTTACACCACTATGGGTGGAACTGAATATTGTTATGTTAAGTGAAATAAGCCTGGCACAGAAAGACAGACATCATATATTCTCACTTATTTGTGGAAATTAAAATCAAAACAACTGAACTCATGGAGACAGAGAATAGAAGGATGCTTACCAGAGCCTGGGAAGGATAGTGGAGAGTTGGTGGTGGTTGTGCGGGAATGGCGATGGTTAATGGGTACAAAAAGTAGTTAGAAAGAATGAGAAAGACCCAGTATTGGCTAGCACAAGGTGACTATAGTCAAAAATAATTTAAAATACCTAAAAGAGTGTAATTGGATTGTTTGTAACACAAAGGATAAATGCTTGAGGTGATAGGTATCCCATTTACCCTAACATTATTATTACACATTGCATGCCTGTATCAAAATATCTCATGTAACCAATAAATATATACATCTACTATGTACCCATAAAAAATAAAAACAAATAGTGATAAAACTGCAATCCTTATAAGAATGCTATAGCCTAATTCATTTCTATAATCACTAATCTATAAACATTCACAGTAACATGCTGTTTTAAAATCTTAACACATTAAAGGAATCGAAAGAAACAATTCTATATACAAATGGGTTACAAAATTATTTTCAATTAATTATGTTAAGCTAAGGCAATAGAGAAAGGTCAATGTCCATTGTTTACATGGGAGAAAAATAACTTATTTTCTAGTTAGCATTTATTTGTGGAGGAGTGATTTTATCTTCAGTGTTGTACATGATCACTGATTTTTAGAATGGAAATGTTCTTAAACACAAGTCTCAATTGGGTCTGCAAACAACAGTCTTAGCTGAGATTTTTTTTTTTTTTTTTTTGAGACAGAGTTTTTGCTCTTGTCACTCAGGCTGGAGTGCAATGGCGCTATCTCGGCTCACTGCAACCTCTGCCTCCTAGGTTCAAGCGATTCTCATGCCTCAGGCTCCTGAGTAGCTGAGATTACAGTCGCCTGCCACCACGCCCAGCAAATTTTCATATTTTTGGTAGAGACGTGGTCTCACCATGTTGGCCAGGCTGGTCTTAAACTCCTGACCTCAAATGATCTGCCCACCTCGACCTCCCAAAGTGCTGGGATTACAGGCATGAGCCACCGTGCCCGGCCTTAGCTGAAATTTTCAAAAGATAATCTTTGTTAACAGAAAAGGAGAATTGTCACCTTTTCGCTTTTTCAGAGACAGGCATCATTTGAGTATGTGAGAGTGTCCACTCCATTTGCAATTTCAATTCTTCCAGTTTGTAAAGTCGGTAATGGTAATGCGTGTGTGCTGGGGATGTGATGGGAGGGTGGAGGGCAGAGGCAGCTGCTAAGTCAAAGCCAATCAGACCACTTGTCAATTTCTCAAAACCATAGAGAAAGACGTCAATGAGGTTTATGGGCTCTAACCCTATGGGGCCCTGACTTTCCACAGTTTCAAGACCTTGACTGATCTGGTGGAAAAAAAATCCCACCTCCCCTACTCTCTGCCCAAACTAGCATCTCACAGGGTTATCAATTGGCATGTAGATGAAGCCACACAGACAACACACAGGGGCCAATTACCCCACTTTGTGTGTAAAGGGTGGTATATATCTTGTATGCAAGGGGAGGGGATATTTTTTTAATTGCAATGGTAAAATGCCAAAGTGAGAAACGAAGAAATAATTTTCCCCTTAGCTCTTTGGAAGTAAGGTAGGAAAGGAAAAACAAGATAGATGTAAACAAGCCAGAAATCTGAGTCTGAGATTAGTATCAGTTGATGTGGGCAGGGATTTACCTGCTTATGTCAGAGGAGCGAGTGTTTGTCTCTTAGAAACAGGGTCTTTTCTTTCCTCTTTTTAAAGTAGAAAAATTATTACTGCTTTCAGTTTTATTCAAGAGAGAGTTTCCAGGGGTTTGCAGGGAAAGGTTATGAGATCACCCAACCTATGTAACATGCTAACTCTACTGAAATAATTTCTTCTTTTCCCAAACTGTATGTTAAGAGTTCATTTCTGATGGTATATATTATCATCTAACACAGATTAATCTTTCTAGAATCAGCCAAGATAAACATACACTTCTATAATTATATGCTACAGGTGTTCTAGAATCAGCCTCTACCCCCAATTTTTCTAACCATCACCTAAAGAACATACACTTTGAAGGTAAGGAACTTAGAAAATGTACTCCCTTAGCCTTTTTTCCTCTTACTAAATCTAGGAAACATATGTAACACACTGGAAAAACTGTTCTTGAGACAGGAGAATTACTGTATTAATGCCAAGATCACCAATCCACTCATGCAAGAGTTGTGTTCCTGATTACATAGCAAATGGGAGGGGAAAATATCTAAGAGCCATCCTAATACTAACCCTTGATAAGTATTGTGACAGTGTGAAAAGAGCACTGAGTTCAGAGGCTTGGATTTCAGTGTTGACTCTGCTACTGACCATGTGATCTTAGGCAGATCATTTACCTTCTCTAAGCCTCAGTGTCCACATATATTAAATGAAGATAATAACGCCAATACTGGGGTAGCTGGAAAATTTGAATGAAATGATGGATATGAAAGAAATTAGAACCCAGAATAGCACCATCCTAAAAAGTATAGTTTTATTATTATTCATCATCTGAGCTGTTACACAGGAGCAAGCAGGGTGTGGATGGGAAACAGCAAGGGCTTCTGGGATTTTCAAAGGGCAAGTACTGAGCTCATACTAGCACGAAGCTGCTTAACAGATTGGGGAGGCAAGTGGGTTTGAGAAGCTTTTATTTTTATCTGGAACAATCTGCAGGGATGTCCTGCTGCCGTGTCTTAGACCAAGTGTGGTCTTTCTCCTCCAACTTGACTAAAGATGCTGCAGGTACCGATGTGGGTGGCCCCAGTGGTTTGGTGGTGCAAGTGAGTATTTCCCAGGAGTCACTAACTCTGAAAGACCTAAAGGAGAAGTTACATTGTTAATGAAAGCCAGTTAGTCCGCTGTGGAAGGCTGTAAGTCTCCTCCAGGGTCCAGATGAACAGCTGTGGGATGTCAGATACCGGAGTCCTAACCCTCAGAGGAAGGGAAGACAGAAACTCATGGAACTGCATCCAAGGAATGCTCTGGATACAGAATAAGTTCTGCTACAGACACAAGCCCAACATGTGACAGGCAGTTTACTTAATTTCTAGTAAGTAAGTTCTCAGATTTCTCAACAATTTCATTTGGGGGTCACTTTGTTAGGATTGAGAAACCAAAGTTTTCAAGTGAACGTATGTCATTCATCAGGGCCAGACTGAGACTTTTCAGCTTCTTTTCAGACTTTGAAAATGTAGGGAACCCACAGTCTCAACCTATTCTCAACGGGTCTTGCCCACCTTATTTTCATTTTGCCTTTGGTAGAGGCAAGAATGAAGTTGGTCACAGTCTGGCTCAGGCTGAAAAGCTTCAGGCTGTTCCTGGGATCGTAATTCAGTTGGAAAAGTGGGACGACCTCATAGGATACTATGTGGTCAGTCTTGATTAGAAGGACCCTGCTGGGGGAACATGAGAGGAGTCTGATTTCTAAGTAACAAGGTCGTGGGTGCCATGAGGAGTAAGAAGAACAAACAGGTGGGCCTCCATGCTCCCATCCCAGAACAGTGCCCTTAATCATTTATGTATGCTGATAATTCACTTAACAAGTTTGAAAATCCTTGCCATAGGGCATAGGTGCCAAGGAAGAGATGTACAGTTTTAGAAAGGGCATATACTTGTTCCTGATTCAACACCTAGAAATGCAAAAGAAAAGGACAGTGATATCTCTAGATCCTCTAGATTCATAGTGGAAAATCATAAGCAGATTGGAAAAAAAGAATTCTCTTCTTCAAATTGAACTTCAATAAAAGAACAGATCTTTTCTTCTCTCTGGAGACTGGCTACCTGAAAAATAGAGTAAGCATGAGCTGACTCTGGGGTCCAATGAACTCAGGTTTCAGTCCTGGCTTCACCACTGCCGAGCTGTGTGACCTTGGGCACATTACCTAGCCTGTCTGTGCCCCACTTTACTCAAGTCAAATAGAGATATTAATGAAAACTACCTCCTAAGATTCTAGTGAGGATTAAGTGAGTTAAACACATATAAAGTGGTTAGAACAGTGACTGGCACACAAATGCTCAATAAACATTTACTATTATTTTATTAAAAAGGCAACGTGTCTGTATGTGGTAGAGTCAAATTATTGCATGGTCAAGCTGCACTAAGACCAAAGAATATGAAGTCACTGAAAACTGACTCTGGCACTCACTTTGACATCGGACAAGTCACTTAACCTCCTAAGCCTCAAATTTCCCATCTGTGAATGAGGATAAAAGCAGAACCTGTGTTGTCGGTAGCTACTGGGTCTTACTTTGCTTTACTTCCATGATTTTTGTCACTCTTCTTATTTCTAACAAGCTTGTACTTCGCTCTACCTCAACCACCCATTCCCGTGATCATACCCTAGACTTTCTCATCTATACAGGGGACCCTTGTGATCTCAGTTTCAAATATCCACTCTCCAGCCACCACCTCCCATGCAGATGGCTTAAGTAGTCTTATCACCATGTTTTTACATAACCTCCAATCCATCAACCTCCATTAGCCTGTCAACGTCCATCTGCCTCCATTTCCTTCTCTGTGCAGCTTAGATACCACATTCTGTTGTTATAATCACTAACTTGCAAACACCCTCAACTCCTTTTCCTTATTCTCTATCTTTCATGCTCACTGCCACAACCTCACCCCCTAGATGAGGGTCCCCATTTTCCTTCTCTGTGCATTACACTAACCTAACATCACTGATGAAAACTGCACAACCCAGCTACAGCTCACGCTTGAAATTCATGAGCTCAGACTTCAGATCACCACGCAGAAATCCTGTTTATGTTTGTCTACAATCAGGCTTGCGTTCCCAATGCCCAAGAAGACTTCTTTATACTTTCTCACTCTCTTTAAGTATCCCATACTCTTGCTGTCAGCTAATGATCTTGCTCAACAGTTGATTGAGAAAATGGAAATCATTAGATTAGTACTTTTTAGTCTCCTCACATGCAAGCCTGAAAATCAATTTGCATCTGTGTCCTTTTTAGCTTTCTTTTGTATACTTTCAATGGCAGAACAGCCCCTGTTCTTCTAAAAGGTCCATGCTTCTACATGTCCCTTCTGTCAATGACTTCATTCCTCAAGTTATCTATATCCTCCTACATTAGATCATTTTCACTGTCATGCAAAGAGGCTCTAATATTTGCCTTCTTAAAAAAAAGAGACCTCCTCAAACCCCCTTAGCCTCTTAATTAATACCTTTTTTTCTCTTTACCATTACAATGTTAAATTTCTCTAAGACGCTCCTTGAATTTACTGTCTCCATTTTCTCATCTCTAGTTCACTCTTCAACCCACTTTAATCTGGCTTCTGTTCACATCACATAATGAAAACTGCTCTTAACAAGGCTACAAAAATCTCTGATGCTACATCTAAAAGGAATTTTTCTTTATCTTACCTTCTCTTATTTGATCTTTCCACAGTCTTTGACACAGTTGATCACTCCTTCTGTTTTGAAACATTCTCCTCTTTTATCTTCTGTTATATACCACGCTGCCCCAATTCTCCTCTTACCATGCTGGATACTCCTTTTCAGTCTCCTCCGCTGGTTCCTCATGTCCTCAATCCCTAAATATTGGCACTCTCCAGGCCTCTGTCCGCAGTTTTCTTCTCTTCTACGTCTACATCCTCTGCCTAGCTGATCACATCCAATGGCCTTAAATACCACTTATGTACAGGAATAATATACATCCCAAATGTTTACCCAGACTTTCTTCTGAACTCCGCACTCACATATACAACTGTTTAAAAGGTATATCCACTTGGATAACTTACAGGCACCTCATACTTGGCATGGCCAAAACAGAATTGTGTTCTCCTATCCATTTGCTCAAATGGGAAACCTAGGAGATAACCTGTATTCTTCCCCTTTCTTTGCCATTCCCATTTAATCCATTAGCAAGTCCTAAGAGCTAACCCTCCCAAATATATCTCAAATACCTCTATCTCTGCTGTTGCCACCTTATCCAGGATATCATCCTCTCATGATTCTTGCCTCTTTTTTTCATTCTTGCCTTTCTCCAAAGTGTCTTCCCTACAACAGCTTCTGTGATCATATCAGATGCAAATTGGATCACAATTAAAATCCTTCCATGGCTCACAAAGTCACTTAGAATATGAAATCTCAACTGCCAATGTGACCCATAAGGCCCCTGCACTACCTGGCCCCTGCCTACCTCTCCAGCCTTGTCTCATGCCACATTCTCTCCTTTCTCACTGCATTTCTGTCACCCTGGTCTTTTTTCCCCATTTTTCACACACACATCGGGTTTTTGCAGGGACAGCTTCCTCCACCTCCCTCCATCTCTGCCCTAATTCTGGCCAGAGCTGGCTCTCTCACTTCATTCAGATCCCTGATCACACGTCACTTCTTCAGAAAGGCCTTTCTTGAACACTTTATCTAAAGTTGGCCCCCATTTTTCCCTACTTCAAAACCTCATGTGTGTTCTTCACTGAACTCATCATAACTAGCAAATTATTTTGCATTTTCCCTTTGGGGGCGGATATGTCTTATCCATGAAACTATTAACTCTATGAGGGCAAGGATCAAGACAATTTTATTCACTGTTATGTCTCCAATGTATATGATAGTACAGTGGCAATTAACAATATCAACTGTTATTATTATTTGCCGACATTGAAGCAATACATAACCAGTATCTATTTCTACCGACCAAAGGAAAAAAAAATCAAATTCACTAAAACTTTTGACCAATGTTTGTGGGAGTCACCTCTGGAGTGTCTTTCTCTGAGGTCTCTCTGACTACTCTTCTGGCCCTGATGACTCTTCTGCTCCACGTGGTCCCTCCTTCATAGCTGCATGACAGCCCACACGAGGGGATTAATGCCATATCAGAGGGGCAGGGAAGACTCTGCCTCCCTTTTCTGACAAATATTTTTCTACAGCCTCACATAAGAAGTCTTTCTTAACAACCTAAATTACCACTGAAAGGTTCATGCAGTTCACTTTGCAATGAGGATAATATAAATTATATAAAGAATAAAACATGAAGACGCAGCTGAGTCTCATGCCAAACAGGAAGTGGAGGAGCAGTATCTGGGCAGTGAAAAAGCTCCCCAGGTGGTTCGTACCATCAGGCAAGACTGGGAGACTGGTGTCATGCTTAAGAGCAAGGGCTTTCCTGGGTTCCATTGACCTTTCACTTGGAGTCCTAGGAAGTCCCTTCTCTTCCTCTCAGCTGCAGGCTACCTCCCTCTGGCCAGGGCCACAGTAGTAGAAAGGCAAACTCGGGCCTGTTGGCATAGCCACTGTTCCTCAACTACTCTCTGCAAGGGAAGATCATTCCTTCCCCCTTCCCTGAAGGCATATTTTTCTTGGCTCTTTTGCTTGCTTTCTGAGCCGTCTGCATCCTCCTTTCCTATATTTTAGGATAGTGTCCTGGTCCCAGATAGACAGTGAACTAATGTGTGGTAAAATAATCTCACCAGTCACTAATTTTCACTGTTGTACACTTGATTTAACCTGGAATAATTTTTGATGATTTTATGACACTATGAGAGCAAAGAGATAATAGTGCATCTGCCACTTGCTGCTGTATGGCTTAAGGCAAGTCCTTTCACTTTTTTTGAGGTCCAGTTTCCTCATCTATAAAATGGGGCTATTCATTTAGTCAATCACTATTTACTGAATATTGATTGAGTAAAGCACCTAGAACATATTCATATACACATCAAGGTCATGGTGGGGACTGAGCAAGATGGAGTACGTGGTATGTGGCTCATAGTCAACACCCAATACATGTTGTTGCTGTTAGTTTTAGCCTATGAACAATTTTAAGCTTCAAGTTATCAGTAATTCTGAGACTCACAATAAGAAAATGTAGAAACTATTAACAAGTACTCAGGAAACACCACAATGCTGCCTTCCATAAGTTACAAGGTCGGCAGACCTCATTCCCTTGGTCAAGGGCTTACATGATGCCTGCCTTGGCCATACTAAGGCTTTTGAACCAGCTCTCAATGAATCTCCTCATGGAGGCATGGCCAATTTATCACTGGGGTTGGTTTCTGTTTTGTTTGTTTGTTTGTCTCTCACACAAGGACCTCAAATAATATTTTTTTACTACATTGGAATAATTTTTACTACATTACTACATTTCTTCCCATTTCCTTATTAAATGCCTTTTATTGTTTCCAGCCTTCACTCATTCATTTATTCAACAAATATCTACACCTCTGTGCCAGGTGCTAGGGATACAGTGGTTTCCATGAAACTATAAAACCATCTGTGTTTCAACCATTTGCCAGTCACCAATTAATAATAATAAAGTCTCAGCCCTTATGGAGCTGACATTCCAGAGGGGTCTATAAATTACCCTCACCCCTACTTCACACAAGACTGTCAAATGCCTGAAATCAGGGGCTGTGGTAGTGGCTCTTTCTCTGCATCCTATTTTTATTTTTTATGGCGACGGGGATCCTGCCATGTTGCCCAGGCTGGTCTCTAACTCCTGGGCTCAAGTAATCCTCCCGCCTTGGCCTCACAAAGTGCTGGGATTACATGTGCAAGGCACCACAGGCAGCTTGGGTCCTCTGTTAAACACAGCACACAGAGTACAGCTTGGGGTACACAGGATGCCGTCCAAAAGACTTCTCGATGGTTTAATGTATGCCAATGCTTAGAATAATGCACTAGCCATTATTCTGGAAATGAAACATGAAGTGGTTAAGAAATATGACCAGGTTCCTGAAGCAAGTAAATGATAAAGCCGGCATTTGAACCCTGAACCCAGGTCGTGAAGATCCTCCTGTCATTCCACCCAGATTGTCCTGTTTTGTAAGTACCTACTGACACCACTTTCGAATCAAATGTGGAGCCCAGAGTTCTGGCCTCACGCCTTAGCTGACATTTTCCCTGACTGCAGAGTCCTGGGGTGGCCCTGTGTACTAGACTGAAAATTGAACATCTGGGACACAGTAAGCTAATCCTCATCCTCATGAATTTCTTCATTTTTCTGAGTCACCTTGGCTACTTCAATTAAGTCCAGCTCAGGTTAAAAAAGAAAGAAAGAAAAGACAAGAAAAAAGAAACGAAGGAGAGTTGCTTCCATAACAAAATAAAATTGTACAAGATAAGGAGTGCATACACTCTTTTTTTAGGCTAAAATGAAACAAATTCTATCTGTGAAAACACTGAGTGATAGAAATAAGGCTCCTATCCATTACTGGAGACCCTGGGTTTTACACCATCAGTGTCTCTGGTAGAAGACAGGAGCCTTATTTCTCAAGTGCATTCTCAGGATACAGACACACCGTCAAAGGCTGGAAAAGATACCTACTTTCGTTTGGATGGCTGGTACTGGCAGCTCCACGAGATACATATAGCTTCTTATCTAGAAAAGAAGAAAACATTATTGGAACTGAATTTTCTGGGACTAGGCTAGAAAGTGCCCAGTAGCTCCCCAGGGGCCCCACATTGCCTGGCCCTAAGTTTATGAATATCAGGCATATTCTCTCTTATCAGATGCTACAAAAACAGAGAAGCTTCTGTTTTTAAGGTCCCCCATTTTCCAAGGCAGTGTTCCTGATTAAGGGTCACTGACTTCCTCAACAGATCCTGGACTGCCAGTCACCAATTAATACAACTGATGTCAACATGAGTAGAGCATGAAGACTTTGATAATAACCATTTGTTTGTGAATGTGTCTTGAGATTTCCGGAGTAGGACAATGCCTGTATTACAGTTTCACAATGATGTGCCTGGCTTATAGTAGATGCTCACTAATTATTTGCTGAATTGGATTTGAACTGTACAGAGTTGTTATGTTTGGAAGGTGATGACTTCAACCATCTATGTTCTAACCAACTATTGAAACAGGGCTCTGCTGTGTGTGTGCACAGCCATATATACAAGCCCATTTGGCCTAATTTTTCCTGTAAATCCAGTAAGAAAGGACTTTTCTAAAAGAGTAGAGGGGTAGGAATTTTCCCAGGTTTCCCAAGCATGCCACTTTTATGATTTACTCCTTAAGTACATTGCTAATCAAATTCTGGAAATGATGGAGTGGTATTTTAATGGGGAAATTTGTTTTCTACATTAGAATGGAACACAGTGCCTGACTTAGGTAGGCTATGCTGAACAGGCCCTTTGTTTACTATACACTTAGTTCAGGGTAAAGACAGTTTCCAGTAATTTCTTTCAGGCTTCGAACACTAGAACCACACATATGTATGGATAAGGAAGCTGCAAAAGAAAATTCATTCAGAGTACAGAATGCCAGAAGATGCAGACTTGGTCCCACGAAACTATAAAATATATATATTTATACGTGTTTCATATGAAAGGCAAATCTTGCAACAGAGTAGATTGCTTTTTGGTGGAAGTATAATTAATGCCAATTCTTCCCTGTCCTTTTACAAAGAAGGGAACCTTGCTTTCTGACGGATATTTTGCATCTGGTAGGCACTAATTAAATATTTGCTGGGTGAATGAGTGAATGAAGAAGTGAGTGAGCCTTAAGGGAGTTTTTAGTTCAGGGGAGGGGTGGTGGTCAGGGAGCAGGAACCCAAGGGAAACCAAGCAGGTTTCCCAGAGTGCAGGAGTGAGCCAGGGACAGCCAGGCACTGTTACATCTCCAAGCAGCAATGGGGCCGCCTCTACTGTTGCTTTGAATTTTAATGTGTGGAGCAGATGGTTGATATAGATTGCCCTTGTTGTTTGCCTGGAGCCTGACATCACTGCAAGTTGGCAACCTGTTTGGAGGCTACAGTTTGAGGCTGTAGGTACGTCACAGAGCTCTATTTGGCAAATGGCTTATTTAATCACTCCCAACGATGTAAACACAGGACTCTATGATACTACGCAGCAGCCCATCATTTTTCCAAGGTAAGGCCAAGTTGACAGGCTAGGGCGAGTACTTTGGGCCTAGTCCATCTGGCTGGCTATCTATGTAACCCTTTAGCTATTAAACTGTGAATGTCAATGAAGCATAGTGAAAATGTATGGAACATTTAAGCAGAACATTCTGTCCCTCAGCAGCCCTATGTCCAGAGTGGCAGCAATTAGTCTGGGCACCTCATCTCATGCCAACTCACTCTCAACCACAACCAATCAGAGGCACCCCTCCAAGTATCTGTAGGCATTTCCTTACAGTGAACTGAGCCAGGAGGCATGTTGAAGAGCAACCCTGTGCTTCCATTCTCCCTGGCGGCAGATTCCTGAGGACGGGCTAAGCATCTGTCTTGCTGGAAGAGACTTAGGAAAGGCTCACGTTTCCCATCAGGCTGGGGCTCTGGAACCAGGTGCCGAGCCGGGAAGCCATGAGGGTAGCCAGGCTCTAAGGAACTGGTGCCAGCCATAGAGGAGAAATGCCACAGCTCTCCAGGCCGAACGGAGGCCCTCCTAGCCAGGGACGGTGAGAACTGATTCACAGCCACGGGACCAGGCACATGTAAGCTGCAGTTGGCACGGTTTGTGACAGGTACTTCCGGCTGTGGCTTTGTCCATGGAGAAGAGTAACGCCACTGATTTGGAGACATGCTATCATCTGACAAGGAAGATTTAAAAGACATGTTAGGTGCTTATCATTTTCAAAATGGATGTAGCTTTTTTCAGTAATACATACTTCATTTTTTTTTTAATCTTGAAGGAAACACAGAAAAGCTAAAAAAAAAAAAAAATTATCCTAGTGATAATATCCAGAAATAGCCATTGTCCTCTGCAGGTATACTCCTAGGATTTGTTTCTATTCATACATTCATTATTTTCACAACATATATTGTTATTAAAGCCATTTTTGCTCCATTAAAATATCATGAAAAGCCTCCTACAGAAATGAATAGGCTAGGTGCGGTGGCTCACACCTGTAATCCCAGCTCTTTGGGAAGCTGAGAGGGGCAGATCACTTGAAGCCAGGAGTTCGAGATCAGCCTGGGCAATATGGTGAAACGCTGTCTTTACTAACAATACAAAATTTATCTGGTTATGGTGCACACCTGTAATCCCAGCTACTTGGAAGGCTGAGGCAGGATAATTGCTTGTGCCCAGGAGGCAGATATTGCAGTGAGCTGAGATTGTGCCATTGCACTACCACCTGGACAACAGAGTGAGACTCAGTCAGAAAAAAAGAAAGAAAGAGAAGGAGAGAAAGAAAGAGAAAGAGAGGAAGACAGGAAGGAAGGAAGGGAGGTAAGGAGGAAGGTAAACATCAGCTTTTTAAAGTGCTGTACAATAGTCCATGGTAAGGCAGTAATGTGGCTAACAAATGTCATATATGTGGGCTGCTAGGTTATTTCCATTTTTTTCCAATTATGTTAACAGCATTGCAATGAGCATCTTTGTATAGATACTTTTGGACCTAGATCCAATTAGCTCCTTAAGGATACTTTTCTAGAAGTAAAAGTGTTTGGTTGTTGCTATCATCTAGCTTTATTTTACAGCTGGTGTTTTAAATACACCAAATAGGGGGACTCCACAGAACTTTATGAAGGGCTTAACATTTACCTGTGCTGGTCATTCACACAACTCTAGGAGATAAAACCACAATATGAGGCATAAGGATGTTAAGAGACTGAACCAAGGTAGCAAAACAGATTACCAAGTAGAGAATTGAGCTAGAACGATAAGTAATGGGAAGGGAAGTAGTTGCTTGGACCCCATTTTGCAAAAGCAGAATACTGAGGGTCAAGAGGTACTTAGTTTCTTCTTGCAAAGTTCATGTGGACTGGTTAAGAGGGATGGAGTGTCCTTTGATCCCATAGACACTAATCTAATTGTGCCTGTGATAGCCACTTAAGCTGAGATCTCAAATGTCCAGAATAGCTCAGGACAAGGATGAAAGTTTTCCCCATTCTCAATACCCGCTCAGGCAAGGAGGGAGGAGGGAAAGAGCTCTTCTAGACAGTGCTTAAAGCCTGGAGCCTATCATCTATCCAAGATAATGGAGACAGGGTGGATGTGGAGACAAAGGAAGACTGACTGGCTGGAGAGGCTGTCTGGGTCATTGGTCCTCTTTCCCATACAAACCTCTCCTAGCTCCCCTGAACGTTCAGTTTGACTGGATTGTGTACAAGATAAAAAATTCTGAGAGGCCTGCACAGTGTTACTGGAGTACCGTCACTCCGTGAAACACAAAGGATAGAGACAGAAGTCCAAGCCCTCAAGGCACAGACATTCTGCCCAGCATCTCACACCATTCACAGTGAATGATGGGCGATGGCTGGCCCTTCTTATGAAACTGAAGGCAAGACAATATGTAAAGATGTGTTTTGGCGAGGGTGAATGCTACTTCTGAAAATTAATATCTCCAGGCCAAAAGCAATTTAGTGCACAAAGAGAGTGATTACGCTGATTTGGGATAATCGCAGTCTGTTTCATATTGAATGAGGGTACTGCATGTCCTAAGCACAAATTAGAAACGAAGTGTAGCCCCTGACAACTAGGCAGTTTCCATCTGAACAGGACTTACAGATCTCATACATATGACTTAGGGGCTGAATGCTTGAAATGTGGAAAGCAGAGCCCCAGAGTGTTTTGAATATTTCTCTTAACTGCTTCCCTTCTAGAATTCTCTGAAATGTTAAGGGAAAGTGGGTTGGTGTGCCACAGTCCAAAGTCCTGTATGGTCACCGGGTGCCCCAGAGCACAGTTTGGATGGGAGCTTGTGGGGACGCACAGGGTTTCCTAACCCCAAGTTCACAGTGACGCAACAGCGGGCTGTGGGTGGTCTGGGGAAATCCATCAGATTACGCTTGGATGTCAGTGGCCCATGGAGTGGAGACCCTGGATTTGGGTGGACCTCTCTTTCTCAGGCCTCTTGGCTGGAGCACCAGCAGCCCCTCCCATCTACATTGTGGATGGGTAAAGGCCTTTTTTTTTTTTTTTTTTTTTTTTTTTTTTTTTTTTTTTTTGAGATGGAGTTTCGTTCTTGTTGCCCAGGCTGGAGTACATTGGTGCAGTCTTGGCTCACTGCAACCTCTGCCTCCCAAATTCTAGCGATTCTCCTGCCTCAGCCTCCTAAGTAGCTGGGATTACAGGCATTTACCACCATGCCTAGCTAATTATATATTTTTAGTAGAGACGGGGTTTCTCCATGCTGGTCAGGCTGGTCTCAAACTCCTGACCTCAGGTGATCCACCCGCCTTGGCCTCCCAAAGTGCTGGGATTGCAGGTGTGAGCCATCGTGCCCAGCCAAGGCCTCTTAAACTACAAACCTGCACTAGCCCAAGGCTGCTTCTGCTGCTAGAAGTGACCGTGGTGACTTTTTTTTTTTTTTTTTTTAATCCAAGTGCCCCCTATTAGTTACTACTGAAAACTGTAGTAGAAATGAGAGAGGGAGCCCCAGGACAGACTTTGCTGCCTTCTCAAACCCCTGACTACATGAATGAGTGGAGAGCACGTGAGCCACACCCTGATGCAGAGATACAGGGAGCAGGCTAGGATTTTTCTTTCAGCAGGAATACAAATGACTTCCACTCCACTGAATTCAACCCTGGGCATCTAGACCCTCCCTACCTCTTAGTCCCATCCATCCCTCTGGAATTCCTGATGCTGTTGGTCATGAGACAAGACCTGTCCAGAGAGAGCTGTTCTCCATTTCCTACACTGCCCCTTTTGGGTGAAACTGGCAGGCCAGTCCCCCTGCCTTCCAAGCATATCCAGAGGCACCACACACTTCCACCCATATATAATTTTTGGAGTCCCAGAACACTCTAGAAAACATCTTCAGGCACTTACGAGTTTGCCTTCATTCCAGAGTACCCTCCCTCCACTTTATCCTTGCATGGAGACCCTGACTTCTTATTCCAGATTAGTTTTTCAACATACAAACTTAAATGTCACCCTTTCAGAAGGGCCTTCCCTCAAACTCCAATCTAAAGTTTGTGACCTTGTTACTTTCTGTGACTGCACCCTGTTTATTTCCTTCATGGCAGTAACCTATAATTTATTTATTTCTTCATTCTTACATTCATTCATTCACTATTGGTCTTCATTATTCAGTAGGCTTTGCGAGAGCTGAGGTCGTTTCTCTTTTGTTCACCATTATATCCCCAAGAGCTTGCACAGTGCCTAGCACATAGTGGCCCTGAGAAAGTATTATTTAATGAATGCACACACATTTGCACACAAACACACATATATGTGCACAGTCGCAAACATGTACACATTCATACTCATTAACACAAATGTACACACACACACACACACAGACACACACACACCCCCTTCCCCACTGAACCTTTCTAAATTGAAGAGCACAGCATGAAAGTGGTTAAAGCACGGACTTTGAAGTCAGACAGGCTTGGAATCCAATCCCAGATCTGTCACTTTCTAGCTGTGTGACACAGCAAATCCCCACCCACCTCTGAGATTGTTCTGAGACTGAATGAGACGAGTCATGTAAAAGGTTTAGTACAGTGCCTGGTACACAACTGATATTCAATAAGTGGCAGCTATTGCTGTTGTCATTATTAATCATCTCAGTTTGGAAACCCACTCTGGGTTTTCAGAAGTCTTTGCTCAGTCTGTGGCCATTCTCAGGGAATAACACATCAGAGGTGGGCAGGAGCAATTTGTAAATATAGAATCTCTTTTATTTATTGAGCACTCACTGTGGGCCAGACACTTTACTTAGCAATCTACATACACAATCTCATGTGATCCTCACAGCAACCCAGGTAAGAAAATTGAGACCCAGAATGGTTAAGTGACTTGTCTAAGGCCACACAGTTAGCAGGTGGTAGAGGTGTCTGATTATAAACCTCAGGCTCCTGGAACTATGCCTCTCCAATATTGCAAAGAATGCAGTGAGCTGGGCACTTTCACATGCTCCTTGGGTTGGAGGGCTGGCAGACTGGCATAACATTTCTAGAGAGAAATTTGTTGATATATATCAAAACCCTAAAATTTGCGTGTACTCTTTGACCCAAGCATTTCACATATAGCAATTTATTTTAAGTATATAGCCAATGAGGTAAAAATGTACCTAGAAAGATGTTCAAAGTGATTGGTTTAATGTAGCGAAAGATTAGCAACAACCTAAATATCCAAAAATTTTAATGAATTTGGTACATCTATAAAAGGATACTCTTGAGCTATTAAAATGATGTTGTAGTAGCACATTCAATGGCATGGAGGACTGAATATGACATTGTTGAATTTTTTAAAAAAGCAGGTTACAACCCTTATGTGCAAAATGATGCCATGTTGTAAAAATTAGTACATGCACATAGATGCACGTGTTTTTTGTTTCCTGAATGCTTATCTGTGTTTTCTAAATTTCCAAAGATGAGTGTATTTTATGTTTGTAAATAGCAAAAATTATGTTTTAAGCAAAAACTTAAGAAACCACTTGACCCGTGAAGCTCCCAAAAGATGAGCCACAGCTGTGAATGACTAATCTATGATTGCCTGATTTCCTTCCGTCCATCCTTTCTTCTTTCTTTCCTTCTCTTTTCCCTCTTTCTGCATCTTTTAATGCAAATTTTGTCTTTTTTTTTTTTTTTTGCTGAGACAGAATCTCACCTCTCCCAGCGTGGAGTGTACTGG